AAATAATACCTTGTAATTATGAGATCCTGATCTCGTAATTATGACATCTTATCTCGTAATTTTGAGATCTTTTCTCATAATTATGAGATCTTTTCTCAAAATAATGAGATCAGGATCTCGTAATTATGACATCTTATCTCGTAATTATGAGATCTTTTCTCAAAATAATGAGATCAGGATCTCGTAATTATGACATCTTATCTCATAATTATGAGATCTTTTCTCGTAATTATTAGATAAGATCTCAAAATTATGAGATATTTTCTCATAATTATGAGATCCTGATCTCATAATTACGAGAACCTGATCTCATTAATTATGAGATCAGGAGTCAAATATTTTTTATGACGTGAATGCAATGCTCTTCCGTACATATTTGATTGTGTTTGACAAAGTGAAGCTCTGCTGGAGGTCAGCTGTACCACACCTGAAACTAAGATGCTCCTCCAGCCGACACCATAGATCAGAACCAAACAGAAGAATGTAAAGAACACAGATGCTGGAGGTTTATTTACAACAGCCCTGGCCATAGCAACAAATATAAAAGTTTATGAAATTTGTCAAACCTTCACTTCATAATTCTTTAGATATCAAAGTTGATTGTGCTGTAATCTGGAGACAAGCTAGTTTTATGTCATCATTTTGGAATAAATTTGTCAAACATACTGGAAAAATCACAGTACTGTCTGTCATCACAGAAATCATACCTGCCTGGAGTGATTCACTCACCGTTAACAAAAAAGTCAATAAAAATATCACCGCATAGCTAAAGCCATAAGCTTAAGCTTGTTTGGGGCAAAATGTCCAAAAAGTGAGCTGACATTTTTAAAATGATGTTGGCAAATAAAGCCAGACCAGTCCTGGTTTGTTCAGTAACACATAACCACAGCTGTAGCTGCACAGCATCACTTCCATGAAGCAGTTTGGACTTACAGAGGACACATTTCAGCAGGTACTGAATGAAATGCACACCTCTGTAGTTGAATATCTCACAATATTTCCATAAATGCACAAATCAGCAAGATTTTCCTGCAGCTGAGCGAAGAGGAGAGGACACATCTGCATTTTTCTTTGTCAGGCTGTTTTGAACTGGAAAGATTTCTCAGCTGGAAGGAGTCCTGTTTGTAATCCTAAATACACCTGCAAACTAAGGTTTTTAAAAATATTGGCTGAGATGTGTTAATTAGTGAACATGAGAGGAGCAGGTTTGCAGGTTTTGGTGCCTTAGGATTGAATTGATGTTTCCAGTCTTTAAAACTAAATTAGGCTAAAGTTTTACTTTAGTGTCTGTTGTTTTGTCTGACTCCTTTAAAGCGTTTTCAGCTCCAACAAATCAAAGACAGCAGCAATAGTTGAGGTTAGTTACAGTGAGCGTGCAACTGTAGAAACTGGAACAAAAAAGCAATTTGGGGGATTTTGTGTCTTTTAACTCATGCATCAGAACAACTACATTTATGTAAATATGTTTTTCTGTGATACAAATAAAAATAATAAGCAGATATTTTTTGTTGAGCAGGTTTATGTTTACTGGGATAATCTGACACTCAGGTGGATTTTATTATTCAAACCAGGTGTTCTCAAACGTTTTGGGTCTGGGGACCCCTTCATAAACCCCACGCTGTTAATGCAAAACAGTTTACTGTTGATTTTAACCCCTAAATGTCAAGGTAATATAATTTTTTGATTGGTTTAGTATGTTTGTTTTATTAGTGCATTGTTCCACGCAGAGTTGTAAAGGAACTAAGTACAAATACTTTGTTACTGTACTTAAGTAGAATTTTGTGGTATCTGAACTTTACTTGAGTAATTATTTTTATGCGTACTTTTTACTTTTACTTCTTATAATTTTACACAATTATCTGTACGTTCTACTCACTACATTTTTTAAAAAGGTAAGAAGTAGAAAGTTGTTATTCCTATTTTTTTCTGAGTTCTCAGTACTTAAGGGTGTTTTCAGACCAGGAAAGTCCTTTGGTTCAATTGTTTGGTCCGGACCAAAAATGGACTTTTTTTTTGTTTGGTGCAGTTTGCATTCACATTGTGCTTTTTTGCAAACGAACTATAACTTGTAAACAAAACCAAGAGGCTGACGATCATTGCTCCCATTGGACAAAAAAGGACGGGGGCGGGACTGAGCCACAGACCCAGAAGAAAACAAGGAAGTTCTGCGTGCTGCGGTTCTGATGCGCACATTTATGCTGATAGTACAACTGTAATAGCATTTAAAATGTCAGAAGCAGCTAATTTAATGGTGGTTCCGTGATGATATTCTAATTTTGGAGCGACGTCAGTAAATGTGTCCCACGACCCAAAGGAGACGAGGTGCTCTGCGTGTTCTGACCCACAACATGCCGGCAGCTGAGCTGCTAACAGGAGACGATGCAACAGGTATGATTTCAGTTTATTTAGCTCAGCAACGGTGGCCTGTGAAGTCCAAAAAGGTGCATGTTTAATGCAGTTGGTTCGGTTAGAGTCCGGTCTGTATTCACACCAGAAGAGAACTAAAGTGAACCGCACCAGAGTTCGTTTGGAAGCGGACYGAGACCACCTCAAAAAGCRGGTCTCGGTYCGGTTGTTTGATCCGCACCAGAGTTCGCATGAGTGTATTCACACCTGCACAAAAGGTCCGGACCAACGCTGGAAACTAACTCTGGTTCGTTTAAAACGGAGCAAATGATCAGGTCTGAATACGACCGTAGTTTCCAGCGTTGGTCTGGACCTTTTGTGCAGGTGTGAATACACTCATGCGAACTCTGGTGCGGATCAAACAACCGGACCGAGACCTGCTTTTTGAGGTGGTCTCGGTCCTCTTCCAAACGAACTCTAGTGCGGTTCACTTTAGTTCTCTTCTGGTGTGAATACAGACCAGACTCTAACCGAACCAACTGCATTAAACATGCACCTTTTTGGACTTCACAGGCCACCGTTGCTGAGCTAAATAAACTGAAATCATACCTGTTTCATCGTCTCCTGTTAGCAGCTCAGCTGCAGCCTGTAGTGGGTCAGAACACGCAGAGCACCTCATCTCCTTTGGGTTGCGGGACACATTTACTGACGCCGCTCCAAAATTAGAATATCATCACGGAACCACCATTAAATTAGCTGCTTCTGACATTTTAAATGCTATTACAGTTGTACTATCAGTAAAAATGTGCGCATCACAACCACAGCATGCAGGACTTCCTTGTTTTCTTCTGGATCTGTGGCTCAGTCCCGCCCCCGTCCTTTTTTTGTCCAATGGGAGCAATGATCGTCAGCCTCATGGTTTTGTTTACAAGTTATAGTTCGTTTGCAAAAAAGCACAATGTGAATGCAAACTGCACCAAAAGTCCATTGTTGGTCCGGACCAAACAATTGGACCAATGGACTTTCCTGGTCTGAATACACCCTGAATACGACCTAAAAAATCCTATCCTGATAAACTGTGTCTCCTGGATCAAGTGAATTTAATTGTGTTTGGATGAGAAGTATAAATATATACCATTCTGACACACTATTATCTTGTACACAACCCATCACAGCTGCACGCTGTTAGAAAATATATTTTTTGAGAAGTCACCTCTTAATAAATGTCATTTTTGAAAATCTAACTGCTCACTTTTACTCAGTACTTTTACTTTTAATACTCAAGTAGATTTTGTGTCAGAAATTTACTTTTGACACTTAAGTCCAAAAAGTATCAGGTACTTTAAGACTTTTCACTCAAGTAATATTTTTAGAGAATAATTTAACTTTTACCAAAGTATTTTTATGATTAGATACTTGTACTTTTACTCAAGTATCACTTTGGTACTTTATACAACATTGGTTCCACGTGTGCATTTTTTAAAAAATAAAAACCAAATTAACGATTTATTGGAATTTTTTGAGGACCCCCAAGACACAGCTTGTGGACTCCTGGGGGTCCTGGGACCCCAGTTTGAGAACTTCTGATTTAAACTATTTAAATAATAAATACTGTTTACTGTCATTAACTTGAAGTATTTGTGTAGGTCCACTTCCTTTCAATGAAAAAAAAATCTTCAGATTCTGAGGCCAGAAAATCAAAAGAACACGAAGGGGGTGAAAACTTTTGCAACCCTCTGTAAGCTGCTGATTTTACCTTCAGCTGAGAGGCAGGGAAGATATTTTATCGGCTTTACTCTGGTTTGATTAAGTTTTACTGGCTATAATTTAAAGACTTTTATGAATGTAGATCTCACTGATGAAGAGCTTCAACAAGCATCTTCCTCACTCAGTGACTGTTAGCTACACAAAGTACCACTGTCAGCCAGAATCAGTGATCTGCACAAAGTGCTTTTCATTTTTTTCCCTTCTGATTGGGCTTTGCAACGCATTCTGTTTCATCTCCCATTTGAACAGGCATTTTTTGAAGATGAACAGGTTTCACAAACCGTGCCGTCGCTCGGCCGTGTTCACGGTTCAATTTATTAAAGAGATGGAAAGAGAGTTCCAACACAGAGTTCAACACAAAGTCACTTTATTAAGTTTAGGGGCAGGTGGATAAAATTGACTGCAGGGACTCTTTTCCTCCTTTTCATCAGCTTTGAAAGTGGATGCTGGGAGTTGCTGAGGAGAGGAAGCAACAGCAGGTAAAATGTTCCCAAATTACATTGCCCAGGTTTTTGATGAACCAGTGATCCAAGAGAGGCAGCTCCAGTCAAGCCAAACATCAAAAGGTAAACTTTTAATAATAAAAAATTGAAAGAGAGAGAGAGAGAGAGCGACAGAAAAAAAAATCAGACTGCAGGAAACTTAAAAATAAAAAAATACCACACCACTTCACCAATGCCAGCAATCTGAAGGGTTTGCAAAGTTCGCCCAGTATATTTGGGATAAAGTCACATGTCAGACATTAAACTTCCTCCAAATGAAGCAGATGTTGATCACTGGAGCTCAGGAGGAGTGGTTCAGCTCAGGCACAGATCAGGTGGTTTCTCCTCTGAACTCTTTGTTCCCGTCTTCTTCTTGTTTCTAATCGTGTGGTTAAAAACACTGTTGTGTTCTTCTGGATGATTCTTGAATCACGATGATGATGATGATGATGATGATGATGATACACTCCTGTAAAACCTTTTGTAATAAGTCTTTTTATGTACTAATCACTGCTAACACTGTTCGTTATGGACACGATGTTATGGCAGGAAAAACTCATTGCTTTCTGTTTTTTTTCCCCTTCTTTTTTTTTCCAAAATAAAACCCCAGAGATATTACAATGAAGAAATGAAACAAAATAAGCAAGAAAACCTGTTTAAGACATTAGTACACTTTGATTATTCAAAGGACGGTTTGATGGCGAGTACTGTACGAGCACATTTAGTACTGGGAGGGTCGGATCACGTCAGTGTTGGCGTTTAAAACCTCTCACAGACATTTAGACTCTGACTACATGTGACTGAATCGGCTTCGGAAGTTTGCGAGGCGTTTCTCGGTCACACTGATACACTTTTCCAAAAATGCGTCGTCTCCTGAAACACAAAATCTTCTGTCTCGGTCAGTCCTTGACTCTGTGGTGTCTTGATAGAGCATTTGGTTTGGCAGAGGCGTTCCTTTAATAACAGTCTCCTCCCCGTCGTCTCTGTAGGTTATCAGTGTTCATGCAGTAAAGGTTCATCATCAGGTGGCCTCTGGTCGACATTCCCTACCCAACCTTTGTGAATTCAGAGTCCTCTCTGCTGCTGCCGAGGGTGGAGGTTCCCCTGGGGGACTGGACCTTTCCGATTTCCTCAAGGGCGCTGGCCAGGGAGTCCAGGTCCCCAGAGTCCTGGTGCTGGGCTTCCCACAGACTCAGAATCACAGAAGACGGGCTCTCCTGACACGCAAAGTAGCACAAGTTCCTAGAGGCAGAGGAAACAGCATGTTAGAAATACACCAGGCTGTATGAGAATTTCTAACAAGAGTGGACCTGAGGGGATGTAGATGAACTAATTATTATAAAAACAACACAAAAACTAAGTACCTTTCAAGTGGTTGGATGTGCATTACTAATAACTTCCTTTATCATCTAGTAAAAATAAAAACCTGATGTCCTGAAGGTCAATTCCTGAAACACAGCACAGAGACATGACTAACTCATTCTCACTCCCGACTCGTCACATATTGATGATTTTCCAAGGTTCCCTCTGCGTCTTGTTTTGACGCGTCGTGTACCCCAGTTGCACCAGTTATCGACACACCAGGCATTTCTGTGTTTCCTCGTCGTCCGGGTTTGACGCGTTGGGATGCAAAATATAGGAGTCTTTGAGTTGGAGTCCGTGGTTAATATTAGGGATCAGGGTTGATGGTTAATTTTAGGTACTAGGGTCAGGGACAGGATGTCTAGAGTGAATAAAAGTAATTTTAGGGTTTGGAACGGTTAGTTTTTGTGCTTGACGAGATGGGGCAGAATCCGTTGTCTAATTTTAGAAAGTGTAGAAAATGCACAAAAACTAACCGTCCCAAACCCTAAAATTACTTTTATTCACTCTAAGACATCCTGTCCCTGACCCTAGTACCTAAAATTAACCATCAACCCTGATCCCTAAAATTAACCATCTTTAGAAATTGTAGGAAATTCATGTGAACTACGTGTTCCAAAGCCTAAAATTACCTAATATTCGCCCTAGACATCCTATCCCTGACCCCACTACCTAAAATTAA